TCCTTTCTTAAATTTCCTAGTGTTGTATTGAATTTCAGTTGCACAGTATATGTGAGGTGTTGATATTGGTATTAATTAGTTCATATTATGAAACAACCCTACTCTGCCTCTAACCGTGTTGGGCGATATGCAGATGCCAAGCGGTTGATCGGGAGACGATACAGCGACGCCTCTGTGCATGCTGACATAAAGCTGTGGCCTTTCAAGGTTGTCCCGGACCCCACGGACAAGCCCATGATTGTGGTCTCCCACAATGGCGAGGAGAAGCAGTTCCCCCCTGAGGAGATATCTTCCATGGTCCTCACCAAGATGGCTGCCATTGCCGACTCCTATCTGGCCCCACCCTTGTCCGGGATGCCGTCATCACCGGCCCGGCCTACTTTAGCAACTCTCAAAGACAGACCACCAAGGATGTCGGTGCCATTGACGGCCTCAATGTCATCCGCATCATCAATGAGCCCACTGCTGCCGCCATTGCCTATGGCCTCAACTATAAAGGAGAGAAGAAGAATGTGTTGGTCTTCGACTTAGGTGGTGGCACCTGTGACGTCTCCATCCTGACAATATCAAAGGGTACCTTCGAGGTGAGGGCCACCGCTGGCGACACCCACCTTGGCGGGGAGGATTTCGACAACCGCATTGTTGCTCACTTTGCCAAAGAGTTCAAGCGCAAGAACAACAAGGACCTTTCTGAAAACCTGCGGGCCCTACGGAGGCTGAGGACAGCTTGCGAGAGGGCGAAGAGGGTTCTCTCGACCAATACTAAGACCAATGTGGACGTTGAGTGTCTGCACGAGGGAATTGACTTTTACTCTAGCATTACCTGCGATAAATTCGAGGATCTCAACATGGACCTGTTCGAAAAATGCGCCGAGCCTGTAGAGAGCTGCCTGAGAGATGCTGGGGTGGAGAAGGCTGCCATCCATGATGTCGTTCTGGTTGGAGGCTCGAGCAGGATTCCCAAGGTTCATAAGATGCTGCAGTTTATTTTCGTGGGAAAGGAGCTGTGCAGGAGCATTAACCCGGATGAGGCTGTTGCGTACGGTGCCGCCGTGCAGGCAGCCGTCCTACGTGGCATAGGGGACGACAAGGTGCGGGACCTCGTACTCCTCGATGTGACCCCTCTCTCACTAGGAGTGCACACTGTCGAGGAGGCCATGTATGTCGTGGTCCCGCGGAACACGACTCTCCCCACCCAGAAAGAGCGAACATTGTACACAAATGTATATAACCAGACATCTGTGAGACTCCCGGTCTACGAGGGCGAGCAGGCGAGGTCAACGGACAACAACCTGCTCGCGCAGTTCATACTGAAGGGAATTCCACCTACCCCGAGGCGCGTGCAAATGGTGGACGTGNCCCAGAAAGAGCGAACATTGTACACAAATGTATATAACCAGACATCTGTGAGACTCCCGGTCTACGAGGGCGAGCGGGCGAGGTCAACAGACAACAACCTGCTCGCGCAGTTCATACTGAAGGGAATTCCACCTACCCCGAGGCGCGTGCAAATGGTGGACGTGTGCTTCAAAATTGACGCCAACGGCATACTCAGTGTATCGGCAAAAGAGAGGTCGACGGGCAGAACAAACGNAACAAACGGGATCACTATAACCAATGAATAAGGGAGGTTGTCGAAAGAGGAGATTGATAGGATAGTGTGGGATGCCGCGAGACACAGGGGGAGGATGATGACTACAGGAGGAGGGTCAATGCTAGGAACAGCCTCGAGGATTATGCTTATGAAATGAGGAACACAATCAGTGCTGCAGCCGGGCTGGCGGCGACCGATAAGAAGATGGTGGAGGATGCGGCGGTGTCGATTATTCAGTGGGTGAGGGAGATGAATTGGATGAAGGCCAGTGTAGATGAGCTCAACCATAGGATGCGTGAGCTTAAGAGCATTTGCTGGCCTATCATTATTAAAATTATTGATTTGGAGTTCGACTTCGATT